TTTACTTTTAGTAACTAATTCTCACAGTGCATCTCCTTCATGAAAACACTCATGATTTGAGTTTGAATTTATTTTCTAACGTTACAGTTTTTGCTATCTGAGTTATATTGATAATAACTTTAAAAAGTATGTTTACTTCCAGGTAGCCTATGGGGAGAACCTGCTTTTTTGTCATTTAGAGTATTTCGTCTTTGCTTACCCGTTATTTCACTCAGTTAGGAGCCATATTGAGACCTGTGATTGTAGCATTGTGCTGGATCGTGAGGGAAGGAATAGCAGGTGGCTCTTCCTCCTCCCTCTCACGGTTCTTCAGCTTCTGGCTGGGCCTCGAGCCGGCAGCACGAGCGAGAGGGCGGGAAGGGAGACGACAGCTGGGCGAGAAGCCGGATGTGCCCGTTTGCCTGTTGTTTATACAGGGTGGTTGTGCCCTCGTCCTCAGCCTGCATGTCGTTAGTATGTTCTTCAAAAGTATTTTTAGGTCAACTAAAGAGAATCGACAGCACCGCAGCTGTGAATGCTCATCCCTCTCGTTCCTTTCTTTGACATGCACCTTCAAAGACCTAGATGGCATTCTCTAATTGCCAAGTACAGCCTCAGGGATCTGCCCGGCTCCACCGTGATGGGCTGTGACGGGATCATTCGGCTTTTCCGCCTAAACCCGGGCCTCCTGGTGGGGCTGTGGAAGGTAAGACGCGCCCCGCGTGGACAGTGCCCTCTCCTCACTCACAGCCCAGTGTGCCCCCCACTGGGCACGGTGCCAGATGCACGGCCCTGCATGACCTCTCAAGCCCCGTGCGTTCTGCCTCCCCGCCGACTCCGTTTTTCTAGCACTGACCTGGTGTCCGTGGCGGCTCGCTGCTGCTTGGCTCACACGCGTGCAGACCACCCGTTCTGCCTGGTGCCTTCGTCACGTTATTCCTTTAACGTCACGGGACATCCCTGCTCTCCTTCTCGTCGATCCACGTTCCTGTCTTCTGTTCTTTCCGTGTGCCTTCTCTGCCAATCTCCGTCTCCACGTCCCACCCGGTGGTCTCGCACGCGTGTTTCTGATCCTGCGGATGTGACATCAAGTGTTGCCTGAGTGTCCAGGGACTTATCCGTTCCCAGCAGATGAGGTTGCTTCTTTCATGGGGTCAGGCTGATAGCCAGCTCTCTCCTCTGGGGTTACTGTCTGGACTGTCACTTCAGAGAAAAGCGTAACAGTGTGATGTTCCCGTGTACTCCACAAGTTTCTCTGTGGCCTTGGCCCATGGATGCTTTAAGACAGCAAATCACGACTCTGATTCTGAGAAGGTCCGCCTGTGATGGCAGGACCAGGATCGACCACAGCGTGCTCTCGGGCCTCTTACAGCCTGCTCGGCTTTCTGTGTGAAGGCGACTAGTGGGCCTGGCAGCAGTCTGCCTGCCCCGCTCTGGTGGCCTGCATAGTGACAAGGACTCTGGCAGATCTAACTGTCCTCTGTCTGGCCACTTCAGATTTACCATCCTGGTGACCTACACCAGGCAGTATCAGGTGGAACTGGGGAGAAGAGGGCAGCAGTTCCTGTACTGGCACATTTTCGATGTCCGTCAAACTGATGGACAGGCACAGAGTGGGACTCTAATTATTCCCTCTGGCTTTGCCACGTCATGCAGGTACTAGGTGCAGAGAGGGCTCTGCACCACACGTTAAGTCTCTGTCGAGCTCTTCCAGAATTATTTTTGGAAAGAGTTTGAAACAACCTGGAACTACCAAGACATATTTTCACAATTACCGTGTTCAACACAGTGTTTTGATATTTCACAAGCACCAGGGTGTTAACCCATTTGGCCCTGCACGTGCTGCGTATCTGGGTGAGTGGCAGCTCTGCTGTCAGTGTGACATGCACGTCTTAGGTCGCAGTAACGTGCTAGCAGTGATAATGTGTCAGCGCTGTGCTGATGTCACAGGAGTCAGAGACCGCATCTGTCTATAAGATGAAATGCGCTGTGATCTTCACGGTGACCTTGTGAACAATGAAAATATTTCACTTCAAAAATATATTCTTTTATTCTTTTTAATTATCTTTTCAGAGGGAGGAAGAACTGGCTTTTGTCATGGCAACTCTTCATTTCCATCACCTTGTGGAGAGGAGCACGTTGGGCTCAGCCACTGTGTATGTATTTGTGTGTTGTGTATTCAATTTTTGTAAAGTCAATCTAAACAATTAGAACTTGATACCATCTTAATATCCTGAGAACAGCTACAAAGACATTTTGTTTTTAATCAGTAGACACAAGCCAACAGGCGTAATTGCTTAGCCGTTGCTAAAATAATTGGATTGTTCACAAATACATATTTGCTTTGTTGGCTTGGGGTTAAGGATTATGTGCCAGCCGAACATTATCCCTGGGGTCAGGAGACCGTCACACCTACAGGGTCCTAGTGCATCATGGCACCCAAGTTCTTTGCGCTAGCAAGAGCCTTCGTATCTCGAAGGCACGCGGGCCTGGGGCTTCTGGGCCCAGTCTGGCCTGCAGATACATTTTTGCCCGGTCTGTATGGTGCATGTCTCTTCCTGGATTTGAAGGCCCTCGGGTGGTGGGGGGCTGGGCAACAGGCTCTCCTTTCTACCACAGCTCACACTCACTTTGTAGATACCATCGAGCAGCTCCCGAATGCTTTTGTTTGTTATCTTGTTAAGGTTTTTCTTATTGAATAAAACATTGTTCATCATGGCTTTTGGTCTTCTGCCTAGGTGCCTCACCTGTAGGTCTGTTGTAGCTGTAGCAGTGGGTCTGTAGGTGCCTTTTCCTGCCGGGCTCTCCTGTCCCCTGGACACTGAGGCCACCGAGCAGCAGAGCTGCCTTTGCAGAGTTGCCATGCCGGGCGGGCCTCAGAGCTGTGTGTGCCGTGGTCTCGTGGAAACCCACGGAGCTCACACCTGTGCCTGTTTTAAAGGATGTTGACAAAGGAACACGGAGCAGCGGGTTCCTGGTGTTGAAGGTCACTGGGAGCCCTCTAGACTAGGGTCGATAGCGGCTGGGGCTTTGAGTGGGTGTGACCTTTTTAAAGAGTATTTTCAATTCAAGCCCTTTATCTCCGGTGCTGACCAATTTGTGTGCATGTTTTGTTTTGCTTTTCAGTCCCTCTGAGCTGCCTGCTCATACTCCCCTTCTGGATGACAGCCCAGAGCGCGGCCTGCATGGCTTCCAGCTCCATGTCGACATGCACAGTGGCGGGACTTCCTACCTGTGTAGCACATTTCACAATCTCTTTACCAAGAAAGGTGACACTAATTGAGTTTTTGTTTCAGCATGAAATTAAAAGGTTAGAGAGGACAGGGGACTAGTTTTCATCTCTGAGTTAAGAAGTATCCTCCACTCTGGTCACTGTTTGGCGGCTCCCTCCCAGACACCCGTGTTGCCCCAGGACTTGTGAAATCCCTCGGCCAGAGCTGACTCCTCCATCATCACGTCTCTCCCGTGGGCATGTTCTCCGCTCTCCTTTTCCGCTGACCCTTGCCGCCTTGTTTTGCCCATCATGCCCCTTCCCCCAGCCTCTTACCTTCTTTCTCAAAGGAATGTGGTGAATTTGGCAATAGGGCCCCTGTAGCACCCACCCAGGATAAGAGTGCAATCCAGCAGGTGTGTCATGGTCACCACAGCTGAGACAGAGACCTAGGGGAAGGGAGGGGACTGCAGCCAAGGGAAGGAAGGAAGTCAGAGGAAGTGATGTGCAACACCCTCTCCCACCTCGTCCATCCGGCTGTTCTTGGTGCCATCCCTCTGTGTCCTACAGACTCCAGGCTTGCTGTGAGGCCTTGCGTAGATTCAAGTTTAATGTTTCTGGTAATAATATTTTATAGGGGAAATTGCATACTTTATTTCTTAATATCCTGTTCCCCAAAGTTCTTTCATCCAATGGATTTGATATCCATTAACAATCTCCCTAAGTCGATGTTTTGTTTGAATTTAGGAAAGGTTTCTAATTACTTCTACATTTATTAGCTGAACTTCTGTAAAAAACTTTTCTCATCAACTGGGTGAACTTCTATAACGACAGGGTGAATACTTTAACCCTTTAACCACTGATTTTCAGGTCAAGAAATCAATGTGTCACCCCTTCTATGGCGGAAATAATTTTGAGCGTGCGCTCTCGCTCCCCCCCACCCCGCTCTGCTTCTGTCTTTCTTGTTTAGTGTTACTTTGTACTCTTGGGTTTTTATCATCAATTTACCATCCATTATTTATCATCAATTACAGACATTATTCTTTTTGGAGTTAAAGTTGTCCCCAGTTCAGCCTGTGGGGTCTGCTTCAAGCTGGCTTTTGTGCCCTTTGATACACCTGTATTAATCTTTCAACCTTCTTTGCTTTTTGGCTCAGGAAGATGTCAGGGTTTTTCTGTGCTTGTTGGTATTTTTATTAGAATTGTGTCAAATGTATATATTAACCTGGGGTGAGTTGACATCTTTCTTGTTGAATTGTCCTACCCAGGAATGTGGATTGTCTTTCAATTTGTTCGAAAATGCTTTTTATGTCTTTTGGATTGTTTCAGAATTTTCTTCATACTACTTTTGCAATTAAGATTTTTAGTATCTCATCTTTGTTACTTTTCTTCCTTTGTAGCTTCTCATTGTTTTGTAATGTCTTTGTATTTTTTGGTCTTAGGCCACTGCTGATCTCAAAGCATGTGTTGGGAGATATTTCTTCCTCTTGAATTTTTGAGAGCATTTTACGTAGAGTTGGTAGTATTTCTTCCTTACGTGGTTAGTAGAATTCACCTGTAAAGCCATCAAGGCCTGGAGCTTCCTTTGTGGAAGGTTTTTAAACTATTTCAATTTCTTTAATAGGTATAGGGCTATTTAGATTATTACTTGTTTCTTTTTGACTGAGCTTTAATATTTTGTGTCTTTTAAGAAATTTGTCCATTTTATCTAAGTTGCCAAATTTATTGGCATAAAGTTGTTTATAACATTCCATTGTCTTTTAATATCTGTAGACTCTGTAGTAATACCATCTGCATCCTGATTGGTAATTTGTGTGTTCTTGATTTTTTTTTTCCTGATCAGTGTGGCTAGAGGTTTATCAATGTTATTGATCTTTTCAGGGAATCAGCTTTTGGTTTCATTGATTTTCTCTATTGTTCTTATGCTTTGTACTTCTTTGATTTGCACTTTGGTTTTTATTATTTCCATTTTTTTCCTGCTTACTTTGTAATTCACTCTAATTTTTCTAGTTTAATGGGAAAGCTGAAGTCATTGACTTGAGAACTTTCCTTTTTTAATTTTGAGACAGTTCATGCTACAAATGTCTCCCTAAGTCCTGCTTTTCTGGAATCCCACGAATTCTGTTTTTTAATTTTAATTTTAATTTTCATTGTTTTAACCTTTCTAATTTTCCTTTGCTTGCTTCTTTGACCTATAGATTGGATAGAAATGTGTTCCTCAGTTTCTAAAGATTTGAGATTTTTCTGGAGGTTTTTCTGTTACTGATTTGTAGTTTAATTCCATTGTGACCAGAGAATATGTTTGAATGACATGAATTCTTTTAAATTCATTAAGACTTGTTTAATATCTCAGAATGTAGTCTGTGTTTGTACATGTTCCTTGTGTATTAAGAAGGTGTATTCTACTTTGGGTATAGTGTCCTGTAAAAGTTAATCAGGTAAAGGTGGTTGAGAGTGCTGAAGTCTGCTGCATCCTTGTTGATTTCTGCCCACTTGTTTTCCTGGTGATGGAGAGAGGCATATGGAGATCTTCAGCTATGATTGTGGATTCGTGTAGTCCTCGTTGATGTTCTGCCAGTTCTTGCTACATGTATTTTGAAGCTCTGTTGTTTTATTCATAAACATTGGAGAGTTTTATGTCCTCTTGACTAAGTGACCTCTTTATCATTTAAGAGATGACCATCTTTATTCCTGGTCACAGTTTTGCTCTGAAAACTGTTCCATCTGATAAATGTGAGCACTCCAGATTTCTTTTGATGAAAGTTAGCGTGGTACAAGCTTTGCCACCCTCTCGCTTTAAGCCCGTTTGTGTCTCATGCATTGGTCGATGTGCTTCGTCAGTCCCATATGATCTGACAAGCTACTTCTTTTTTCATGCCATTTATTTGTGGAAGAAACTGAATCTGTTATTTCTTTCTACAATTTCTGCATTTTGGATGGTGCTTTCAGTGTAATGTGTTTCTCTGTCTCCGTATTTCCTGTACACTGATAGTCGTGTTTAGAGGCTTGATTAGATTTAGGTTTTTCTTTTTTTGGCAAGAATGCTTCATAGCCCTGTACTTACTCTTGTATTTATCAGAATGATGTAATATCTGCCTTTCTAAATATTACTTATATTAAGATTGATCAGTAGGTTCAGGGATTTTTCAGCCTGCTTATTTTATTAACTTCTCCATGACTGTTTACCAAATGGTTTACCAAATGATGGGTGCCTATGTCCCTTATTTTTATTAGTGATTGTAAAATGATAATTCCCTAGTTCTGTCATCCTCTCTACATCTATTAGTAGAATTCTTCTGTAAAGGAGATTTTTCTTTTATTAACTATTTAGTTACCATGAAATATAGTTAGTACAGGAAAGTGGGTACATGCTTGATTCTTTCTCTTTATTAATTTACAGACTAGTGAGTTAATGCTCTCACAGTTTTCAAAGATGACTTGTACGTTTTTTGGGGGGTATTACGAAATCATTGATTAAAAATATAGCTTAAGTACTTTATTCTATTTGCAGTCATCATTCTTTTTATTGTTATTGTGATACTCAGGTTGTCCTGTCACTGGTCATCTGCTCCTGTATGCTTTTGACATGACTCTAGTTATCTTCGGTAGCTTATTTGTGCTCTAGCATGGCAAGGTAGCTCAGGCTCGCCTTGCCTACTTGTGCCCAGCCCTGAAAGCCTTTGTTCTAAACATCGCAATATGTAATAATTTCAAAATAACAAAGCTGATATTATTAATAATGAACCTATCGAATACTCTCTTAATTAAGAATTTCCTTGCGTTTCTTTATATGCTAAAGATATATCATGCTAGAGATATAAAATCAAGTCACTTAAAATAATCTTCCTCTGCGTGGTTATGCTACCACTCTGATGTACAATTATGATTTGCTTCAGCTGATTTTTTTGTTTTTCAGGATTGCTTTGCTTTTTTTGTACATTAAAAAAAAAATAACCACATTTACATAGTTCCAAAGTTGGAAACATAAAAGAAGGGAATTGAGACAGGTTTACTTTTAGCCTTGTCCCTTGACCCTCCAGAAAATCATTTGTTTTCTTTAGGTTCATTTTCATCTTTTTTTCTAGCTTTTTGACTGCTTAGACTGTTTAATTTTCATATTTTCTAGTTTTTCTCATTGCTCTTTCTGCTACACCCAGAATCTTGGACTCTGCTAATTAGGAAGGAGCTGAAAGGTGATCTGGATGATGACCTCTCTTGGGCTTGGATTTGCATTGCAACTTCTGATCGGGGCCTGCCCTGGAAACAGCTCCCAAATTAGTTTCTCTGTACTTCAGTCCATTTACCTTTATTCTGGTATTTAAGTGAGAAAAATCTCATCCCTCTTCCCGGCACACAGTGCTGAGGGTGCTCCTGGTGCACCCCGGCCTGTACCCAGGGTGCAGACGCCTGTGCCCTCCGGGCTGGCGTCGGCAGAGATCTTAGTCTCTGGCTTCTCTGTGGCTCCAACCTATATCCTCAGGTGTCTCTCACCTCCAGTGTTTCTTATCTGATGCGATCTACAGTCTTGAGAGCCTGTCATTCTCTTCTCCAGGGGATTAGGTCTGTCTCAGGGGCATCTAGAACAGACGGCCTTGCCTCTCCTGGTTCTGAACAAACACAGCCTAATGTTGATTGGGCTCTGTGTGCATTCCTCATACCGAAGCTGTGCCCTTAATAATGACAGTGATAGCGACACAGAACATTCAGGGGCACTCATCATAGGTTCTTGCTGAATGTTTTATGTTTATATTAATTATTTAACTTAATCTTCATAGCAAGCCTGTGAGTTGAGTACCGTTATCTCTCCCATGGCGTCAATGAAGAGGTGGCCTAAGCCGATAGTGTAGGTCAGCTCTGGTTCTGTATAGCTTGCACACGCCGGGCCCCGTCTGTACCCAGGCGGGCGGACTCCAGAGTCTTGGCACCCGGCTCTATGATTTCCTGTATATTTGTACTTTTCAGAGATATGCTTCTGGAGTGTATCTTCTCAGGTGTGTGAGTCTGTCTGTCTGTTTAAAGTTTTGGCATCAGAAGGGAAGTCAGGCAGGGCCTTCTCTG